AAATGTTCTTGCTTCTGTGGATCCAGATTTGGTTCCACCATTTTACTTACTGGGTGACTTGCATAACAACTTCACCACCGTATCCTGATATGAAAAAAAGTAGATGATAATGGTGATGCTAACACTGGATTAGTTTAAAGATTCCATGACTGAGTATTTGGAAAACACTTAGAAGAGTGCCTGAAACTGAGTAACCCTTTTATAGGTCCTCATCAAATGAAAGTCTATAGTCTTTCTTTTGCAAACACAGCAAAACAAAACAGAAAATATACTCTTAAATCAAACTGTCAGTATTTTGCTTGTAATTCCTCACTGGTTTCCTTTTGTGGGGAAAATACAAATATTGTGGCTTAAAGGACACTGTAGGGGCCAGGGAGATGGTACCTGCCACCAAACCAGACATCCTGAGTCCAAACCCCAGGCCCCACATGGTGGGAGAAGAGAACTGATCCCCAAAGGGATCCTCTGGATTCCACATGTGCATAGTGGCTCTCATCCCTACTCCCACAAAATAAATGCAATAAAGCCCTTGAAACTGCATTGATGGTAGCATCCAGAGGGTCTCTTGGTGGGGAGGGGGTCTGGGAGTGACAGGCTGCCCCCACTGCTGGCCAAGGGCCACTGGGTCAGCACACAGCCCCTTCTGAAATCCTTTATCTCCCCTGATAGCCATGGAAGTGCCAAGTTGTCAGCCTGGCAGAGTACAGTAGACCTTGGGGTCCTGGGCTTCGTCCAGCTGCAGAATCACAGCCACCACTCTCATTTATTCCTCCATCCCCAAGCCTCCTTCAGCCTAGTCCCCAGCCTTGGGAAGGTCCAAGCAGTGCTACTTGTCTGAGAGACATACCTGGTAGCCTTTGTTGCCTTGGGGTGAGTACTGTGTCAGCCTCTTACTGCCTTGGGGGTGGGGACAGTGTGTCAGCCTCCCACAAACTAATTTTTTCAGTCATATATTAGCACAAAAGAGTTTTTTGCTAATACTAAAAAAAATTTTTTTTAAAGACTCTTCGTGTTAGAGCTGGAGAGATGACTCAGTGATTAAGAGCACTCGCTGCTTTTGCAGAGGACCCTGGTTCAGTTCCCAGCACCCACATGGTGGCTAACAACACTTCATAACTACAGTTCTAGTGGATCTAGTGGATTTGATGTCCTCTTCTGGCATCGCATCTGTGAGCATTGCACACATGGTGCACTTACATACATGTAGACAAAATATTCATACCCATGAAAAATAAAAAGACCCTCCATGTCAACTTCTTTCTGTTCTTTAAATTCATTTCCTGGTAGGTTGCCTTTGCTTACCACAATCAAACTCTACAGGAGTTTTACATTTTTTCCACTTCATCTTAGAATCTCTCTGTTTTTTTTTTTTTTTAATTTCTGTGTGAGTTTTGCTTCTCCTCTCTGAACAGTTTTGTTTTCTATTGGACTTCTTTCTCTCCCATTTTTGCATCACTGATTACTTCACAACTTTTATGCTTCCTTTGAAGATCTTTGCTTCAGAGAGACAGCCCCTTAAAGTTGTACTCTCTTTGTTTTCTATCCCAAGTCCTCATTCACATCCTTCATAATACCTATAAGTTGTAATTATTTTATAGATTAAATAAATGTAAAATATGAAGCTTGTTACATAGTAGGTACTAAGTACTAAATAGTTCATTGCTAAATGAAGACAGGCAGCTAGTGATTCTAAAGGAAATCAACAAAGTGTGTCAATGAAGCAAATTAGGAAGCAACTAACACCAAAAATATGAAAAATAAACATTTTCTACTCATTTTGAAATGAAAAATTGTAATGATCTTTGTTGGGCTTTCTATATTGACTGGTGAAAACTCTGTGGTACTATGAATACTTGTGAATTTGCGGGGGAGGAAGAGTTCTTGATTGTATTTGTTTTGCTTGAGATAGGGTCTCATGTAAGGCAGTCTGACCTTGAACTTGCTATATAGCCAAGACTATATGCTATAGTCTTGCTATATGGCCTTGAACTCCTCATCCTCCTGCCTTAGACTCCCAAATACTAGGTTTATAGGCATGTACTAACATGCCTGGATTTTATTTTGGGGGGGAAACTTTTTTTTCTGAATGATGTGTTTGTGTGTGGGTATGTGCATGTGAGTGCCAGTGCTTGTGGAGGTCAGAGGCATTGGATACCCTGGAGCTGTGCAGTTATGAGCTGCCTGATGTGGATGCTAGGAATTGAACTGGGGTCCATCTCTCCAATCTCAGAGGTAGGATCTTCCTATGTAGCTTTGGCTGCCCTGGTACTCTCTTTTATTACTGCGAAAACACAGATCTCCTCTCTCAAAGGGAATAAGAAATAGTTTATTCTGGAGCCAAATATAAGTGATCAAGGCTCATGAATATAGATTTAGCTTACTCCAAATACCATACCATGTTCCAATGTACTAATAGTTTCATGAAGATTTTATAGTTACAGGACAAAAAAGTCACAAATCAAGGCATTTTGTAAGTACATCGGTGGAACTATCAGCTATGTGGGCTATAGCAAAGCTGAGAAATCTCTGTTACTAGTTTCAGATGCCATCTGCTGACAGTCTTAGTTTTTGGGTTGGTGGAAGCTAGTGATCTATTAAAACATCTCAAAAGATTTCAAGTGATAGTCATGAGGATGTTAGGTCAGACAAAGAGGTGAGCAATGAATGGTGTTAAAAGAGCCCAAAGAGAACCCAAGATAATTTGACTGTATATTTACAAAATTCCAGCTCTCTCCAATAACAAAGTTTTAACCAGTCACCCAGCCTCGTAGAATCTTTAACATATGCGTGGCTTTGGTTTTTTCACTGAGGACTTCAGTGTAGCCTAGGCTGACCTCAAACTTGAGATAATCCTCCTGCTTTGGCCTCCCATGTGCTGGGATTACTGACATACACTGCTATGCCTGGTCACCTTGGTGGTTTTGATATCATTCTTTTACACCAAGGAAGTTCATATTACACTCTATCAGAAATGGAAGAGACAGAAGGGGGTGGAAGGAAGCTGATTTATTTGAGTCCAAACTTGAGAAAATGGAAGGGACTTCTCCATCTCAAATTTCCATTTTCTAAGGCTTAGGGAATGAAAGAACTTTTATAGTACACAAGGGTTGCAAGGAGTTTCCAGACTGTGCAGGGACTTTTTCTTCAAGTCACATTATCTCTTTCCTCTTCTTGATCATTATCTAGACCTCAGCCTCCTCTGATTGGTACATGCTATGTACATATTTTTTTAAGACACGGTCTTGAAGCATCCTCCTGACTCAGGTCCCTAAACACTGAGATTTCGACTTGTACCACCAGGCCTGGATTTGTATTTTATTTTCATATTAAACTAGTTCTGAAGAGAGCAGAAGGACATTTACAGAGACTATCATTAAAAGGATGGATCTTAGGGAGGAGATTGGAAGGGCAGTCCCAAACTAAAGTCTCCACGTCACCTTACATCCCAATCCCACTCCTCCAAAAGAACCAACTTCCCACGTTTTATTCCCCACTGTCAATTCCTTCAATGGATGTGGGCGTGTTGTCTCTGTTGTGGCTGCTTTGCGTTGAGTAGGAATGGAGCTAGGGGGCTTTGGATGGAGGGTCTCTACATGATATGTGCAAGTCTAGGCAGGAACATCACAATGGACTTTGACCTTTTGAAGTTAGTTAACTGAAGCCTAAGGAAGGGCCAATTATTGATTAGCAGTTTTGTTTTTTAAAAGAAAAAAAATTTTTTTGGCAGTTCTTTTTGTCTGTGCTCGAACAAAGTCACCAATACCACTTTGGTAGAAAGCAGCAAGGCAAGACTTTATTATGACTGGCTGGGCTATCTATCGCAGGAATAGAAGTAGCCCTGAACAATAGCCAGCCAGAGTTTTATAGGATTACAGAAAGCATTGTTCAAACAGAACATCTGTGTGGTAATCAGATTTGTATAACACAGCAGAATTTGGATTCACCAATCGACAGCCTGTTAACTGCAGGGACAAGCAAAGCAAGTGTACAGAAGCAAGCTAAGCAGTTAGAGCTAGATTGACAGGTAGGCCAAACCACAAACACAGAACTCACAGGCACACTCCTCCAGAGGAATTTACAGGAATCAGGCAGAGGTCAGTCACTCCTAATTGTCTTAAAGGAAGGTGGGGGGAACTTAGGACCCTGAGATAGTTCATTTTGTTTTTATTTTTAAGACAATGCCCAGGCTGCCCTCCAAAGTCCCTGTGTAGTTGAGGTTGACCTAATATTCCTCCTTGGGCGTGTCCCAACACACCCAGCTTCATTCTGATGCTTTTATAATACCAAACTACCAGGTGTTCTGGAGCTCATCATGGAGCCCATTTCTATTTTATTTTTCCTGATGGGGTGAGCTGGGAATTGAATTCATCATTCTAACCACCTCTGCTACCGAGTTCTCATCTTTTCATCTGTCCGCCACTTCCTATCCACCAGGAAATCCATTTCCCCACAAACAACTTACTCATCTTAGAGTCTCAGCTAAAATGCCAAACTTTTCCTTAAACCTTTTTCTGCATTGACACTAGTGACATTCGGGTTCACTCATTACCAGGTTTGGCACGCTTTGTACCTCGGATTTACTTCTCTTGCATTTATTATTTTATGTATGTAATCACTGTGTTTCGTGGGTGTGCGTCTCTTTCCTATACTGAGCCTTTCCGGAAGTCGGGTTTTAATCCCAGTATCTAGTCCTTTATTTAAAAGCAGGGTTGGGATGATGAATTGACTTCGACACGCCCTTCCTAGCCGTGACGCAACATTAGGCGGCGTCTCCTAGCCTCCTCTGCGAAGGTGGTCCTGTAGGCAGCTAGAAGCACCGCTAGCTGACGGAGGCGGGCGCAGAAAAAGCGCTGCTGGTGCGTGGGAGGGAAAGGCTGGCCAACTACCTTGGCGCGGGGCACTTCCACTGCGCATGTACCAGGGAGGCTGGAGAGCTGGCTCCCCAGGCGTCCAGTCTATTTCCGGGGGCCAGGACGGCGCGGAGCTTGCGTCATCACCGTGCGCTGCCACGTCTGCTCAGCTCCGGGGCGATGGAGGCTGAGGATGAGTGGTGATGGGGTCAGGCTCTGCTTCTGGCTTTAGGTCGAATCCCGGCACTGACTCCGGGTGTGGGTCTGGTAAGCGAGAGACCGGACACGTCTTCTCCATTCTCCGGTCCGGGACCGTGTGCGTCCAGGGAGCTGGTTTGGAGCGCTTTCAGGGAGGGAGGGAGTTCTGGTGCTCGGGTCCGGTCTGTGAAGCCACGGCCACCTCCTCCCAGGGATCCCGTCCCGCAGTCAGCCTCTTCCCTGCATATTGCTGACTTGCCTCGCTGTCCTGTTGTTTTCCGCGTGCCTCGACCCGCTCGGGTGCCCGGCGGAGACCCCTTTGTCGTTCTCTCTTAGGGGCTAGTCTATTCAAGTTTGTGTTCTCTCGCCTCCCATCCCCTTAGCCCCATCCCACGCTCTTCGTTCCGCGTTTTGCCACTCACTTTTCTCTCTGCTTTTTTAATCAGCTGCTTTTGTCTCTAACAGTTTGAATTCTCTGTCCCGCCTGGCGTTTGTTAGTTAGGCTGATAGGGAACATCGGATCTGTCTGCAGTACCGTTTTGAAAATCGGGGTTTTTCCAGTATGTAATTTCCAGAGTATTTTTAGTAAAAATTTAGGAAATATTTGGCATGTATTGGTGGAACCATGGTATTTGCCTACATTGAGGAAAACAGCTCTTTTTTTCAATGGAGATCTTTGTTGCCTTTTAATCTTGCAGTTTCATTAATTTCTAAGCGGTTTTCCATTAGTTTTTCCGGAATGGGAATTCACTTGCCTGCCTTTATGTGTTTATCTGAGACAGGGTCTAGGTAGCTCAGACTGCCCAGGCTCTTTCCTACCTCAGTCTCCAAAGGGCTGGGATTACAGGTCTTGGGCCACTACCTCTGAGAACTGTCTTTTTGGTATTTTCACCATAACAATGGAGATACCACTTGAACAGTTTTACTATATTTTTGTTTAAAAGGCCTGGTGTCCTTTCATCTTTCTTTGTCAGTTATAAAATGCCCCTGATTAACAAGGAACATTTTTCCTGATTGGGGGGATGGGAAACCCCTCTGGTTAAATGACTTAGTTAAGGTCAGATGATACCAGACACCCTGATAACTATTTTGGACACTATATTTCGCATGACTTTAACATGAAGTATTGAATTGAATTGAAAATGAGTAAGTTCTGGTGTTTCTTGTAAACTTCCACCTGCTTGTAATGTTTCATATGGTACTAAATCAGTAACAAATTCCACATGTGTGAGTTGCCTAATGGTGAACAAAGCTTAGGTCAGAATTTAGGCCTCTGACCCTTTAGAGTCGCTGCAGTCATTTCCATAGAATAAAGTAGGCAATAGATACTAGAAGCATTTGTTCAAAAAATGTGGTTTTTACAAGATCTGCTCACTTAGTTTTTCTGGCTGGTTGTTACATTGCCTTTAAAAACAGTTAACTGACTTTTAATTTTTTGTCTTTTATTATTCAGAGTTGAAATAGGTTGACAGCCATTAGCCTGGGTTGCAACTGCTTGGCACTGGAAGCCGACTGGTTCCTGGACATGCCCAGTAGAAGGAGGGGTCCTAGTCGGCAGCAGCTAAGCCGTTCAGCTTTACCTTCTATACAGACTTTGGTTGGTGGGGGCTGTGGCAATGGAACAGGCTTGAGAAACAGGTAATGAAGAAATAAAGTCTATGAATAGTAATTTACAGAATTACATTTGTAATGCTCAATTGTCAATAAGACTGAGTCATTTTTTTCACATACTTGCTTATCAAACTTTGTTTTTGACACTGAAGTAGAAACCCTGTCTTTGAAGGCTAAAAGTGTAGTATTTTGGAGTACTTTATAGGTAGAAAGAACATAAGGGAACTACAAGATGGAAGCAGTCCGATTCATACTTAATGGCTGATGCTCCAAATTGTAGTCACCACTTTTTTAGCTGTTACAAAGAAATGAATGAAGGTACAAAACAAATGTTAGTTTATCCACTTAGAGCTGCCTTTTGTTTGTTTGTCTTGCTCTGTGGCCCAGGTTGTCCTTGAACTTGAGGTGGTTTTCCTGCCTCAGACTTCCCAGTGCTAGGCTTCCAGGTGTGTGCCAACACATCCTATTACAAAGTTCTAAAATTGGGAGTCAGAGTGTATCAAGATATTTACTTATTTTTCATTTTTAATGGAGCTAAAGAGATGGCTCTGGTTTAAAGCACCTGCTGTTCTTGCTGAAGACCCAGGTTTGAATCCAGCACCCACGTGGCAGCTAACAGTGGTCTATAACTCCAGTTCCAGAGGATCTGATGCCCTCTTCTGTTTTCTGCAGATACTGCATGACATGGATGTGCTTACATACATGCAGGCATAACACTCGTACACATAATATGAAAATAAATTTTGGGGCTGGAGAGATGGCTCAGTGGTTAAGAACACTGACTGCTCTTGCAGAGGACCCGGGTTTGATTCCCATCACCCATATGGCGGCTATGAATCGTCCTTAACTCCAGTTCCAGGGGAAGTCAAAGCCCTCTTCTGACCTCTGAGGCATTGCATGACATGGGTGCACTCACATACATGTAGCCAATACACTCATATACATGAAATGAAAATAATAAAATACTAAAATTTTTTTTAAGTTCTAAAATTAAGAGTCCGCATCAAGACGTTTACTTGTTATTTTTCATTTTAAGTCCCGTGTATGTGTGTACATGCCTGATTTGGGGGGGGGGGGGCACAGGTGCACATGCGTGGAAGTCAGAGGACAGCTGTGAAGCCAGTTTTCTCCTTTCACGCTTTCTGATACGTATTGCCCAAGTGTATTTATTTTTTAAATATCTCAAATGTTTCAGTTTTGCCTAGTGCATAGTAATCATACATATATGGAATACAGTATAGTATATATAGTATATGGAATACAGTATAGTATTTTGATATATGTGTGCATTGTCTATTTTGGTTTTTTTTAATGTGTATGAGTGTATTGCCTGCACCTGTAAGTGCACATGTGTCATGCAATGCCCACAGAGATCTGAAGAGGGCATCAGATCCCCTGGTACTGTAGTTGTGGATATTTGTTAACCACCATGTGGATGCTGGGAATTGAACCCACATCCTCAGCAACAGCAGCCAACGCTCTTAACCACTGAGTCTTTTCTCCAGCCCATTATTTTGGTTTTTAGGAACTTTGATCATATTCCCTTTCAAGTATTCAACTTTATATAAGTGGAGAGGACTTGATCTTATAGATCCTTTTTATACAAGAATTCTTTCATTTTTCCTTCTGAAGTTCTAAATCACTGTATTTGACCTCTGTCTCTTGCTTTCTGTCTTAAAGTTTAGAAGCTAAAACTGGAGTACCACAAGTAGACATTTTTGTACTAAAACTTTGAATATCTGTTTTAAAATCCAATATTTTATTGGCATGCTCCCCTCCCCCCTTGACTGAAGGATAATGAGAATTTTTCTTTCATTTAGATTAGAGGCTCCTAGTTTTCTAGTGTATTATTAGCATTTAAAAATATTTTATTTTTATTAGTTCTATTTTATTTTATGTGTATGAATGTATTGCCTGCATGCATGTAAGTGTACCCGTGTCATACAGTGCCCATGGAGATCAGAAGAAGGCGTTGGATCCCCTGGAATTGAAATTTGGATGGTTGTCAGCAGCCATGTGGGTGCTCAGATTTGAACACCAGTGCTCTAAACCATTGAGCCATTTCTCCAGCCCCCATCATCAGCATTTTTAATTTCAACATCTTAAGACTAACTGAAGTGAGACTTAATCCTTTACATTCACATTATGTTCTTCACTATTCAGAATGAATAAAGTTCATTTTTCCATGAATTCCGTAAAGTAATATTACCAGTGCTAGAATTCTGTCTTTGGAAATTTTAGAGTAGAGTAGTAACACTAAATTATTCCTTCTCATAGTATCAAAACCAAGCTTCTTTTCCTTTGTGTGAACAGTAGTAGACCCCTAGATCTCTGTGACTATTCCCAAACATATTTGCAATAGGAAAATTTATTTTCTATCCCTGTCTTATCACTTTGGATAACTGAGTTCTTTCTGGCCTGTAAGCAAGCACAAAAGGAAGAACAAGATGATGGGAACTAAGTTCTAACTTTTGTTTGTATTTCAAAAGATGTTTCTTTTTCACGACTCTACTGGCCTGTTGCTTTCTTAAATGTATATATCTTCAGTAAAATGTTTTTTTTATTTTTAGGGTTATGATTTAGTAGCCAAGACATAAATCTAAAAAATTATACAGTAAGTGTGGCTGGTTAGCTCAGTTGGTTAGAGCATGGTGCTAAGGAGACCGTGTCTCAAAAAGACCAAAAAAAAAAATTATACAGTATGAAAAGCATAATAGTAAAGGCATAGTTTAACTATGGTGGTGGCACAGAAGAAAGATGTATAGGTTTGAGTTAGAGTAAACTTCTTAGACACCCCGCCCAAGTGGGAAGGGCATGAATGTGCCATGGCACACATGTGGGAGTCTGAGGACAGTTTGTGGGAGTGGCTCTTGTACCACATGGGTCCAGAGATTGAATTTAGGTAATAAGATTTGGCCGTAGGTACCTGTACCTTCTGAGCCATCTTTTCTTTATATTGGTGATTCTGGAGATCCAACCTAGGCTCTTGCACATTTTAGGCTAGTGCTCTGTCACTTAGGTAAACCCCCAGCCCCCTAAAAGTCATAAAGAATGAATAAGAAAATGCCTACAAAAATTTTGTCAGTAACTGTGTATGTGAGAAGTTAGGGAAGGTGATTATGGAGGGCATTTACATAGAAGAATAATACGTATGTTCCAGACAGCAAATGGCATGCAGGTAGAGAAATGTTGCAGGTAGAGAAATGACTTGTAGTAAGGCCACTTTAAGCACAGGGCCTCATATGACTTACTAAAACAGTTTGCCTGTTATCCCATTGGCCATGGAGAACTGTTTTAAAAGGTCTTAGGTAAGATAGTAATACTATCAGAATTTTACTTTAGAAAGATCTCTGAATGCAAGTTTAGAGGGTTTAATGAAGGTAGAGTTGAGGGTTATGCAGTAATTTAGGTGAAAGTTAGTAAATGGCTGAACCTCTAAGATAGTACATGGAGAGAAGATGAGGGTGAGTTTGATAAAGTGGAACTCATCCCTTTAAGATAGGGTGATTGAATATGAGGAGGCAGATGAGAAGTTCTAGGTTAGGTTTCTGATTTGGGCAGCCAATGGGGAAAGCCATGAATTAGTGTCAGGATTATGGGGTGGGGTGGCATAGATATCCACTAAGCAACTGGATACTGAGACTAAAACTCAGGGAGGGCTCTATGGAGAGAAATGTTAGTCTTCCATATCCAGGAGATAATGGCAGGAGATAATGGCAGGCATGACTATCTTAGATCACTGATGCAATGTATAGAGAAGAGAAGAAAAAGAGAATTTCAGAGTGGAGCCTTGGGGAAAGCCAGCAGTTTGGGGTAGGTGGAAAGGGTAGCAGGGGCTGTTTATACTGTGTGACACTGAAGACTGTTACCCTTTGAGTTAATTGTGATTTCTCTTTCAGGAATGGTAGTGCTATTGGCCTTGCAGTCCCACCTATCACAGCCTTAATCACCCCAGGTCCTGTTCGTCATTGCCAAATTCCTGACCTACCCGTGGATGGGAGCCTGCTCTTTGAATTTCTTTTCTTCATCTACCTGCTGATTGTTCTGTTTATTCAGTACATCAACATCTATAAGACTGTGTGGTGGTACCCTTACAGTCATCCTGCATCTTGCACTTTACTGGTGAGTCTCATACCTTTAAGTTCTTTATGTCAGTAGGCAAGAAAGCAACTGGTAGAAATCCAAGTGTAGAAATGTTTTTTCTTTTTCTCTTTTTTTTAGGAGGGGGTGCTTGAGTCTCAGGTAGCACAGGTTAGTCTTGAACTCAGTTGTAGCCAAGGATGACCTTGAATTGCCGATCCTCCTAGTCCCTCCAGAGCCACTAGGATTATAGGAGCACACTACACACTGGACTTTATTCATTTACTTTTGAGGCAGAATCTCACTCTGTAGCCCTGGCTGGCCTGGTACTCATTATGTAGACAAGGCTAGTCTTGAACCTGTATAGATCCACCTACCTCTGCCTCCCCAGTGCTACGATTAAAGGCATATGTCACCACATCCTATAGAAACTTTTCCCTTATGATTTTTCTTCTAATAGAGTTTTACTACCAAACCTCAGATTATTTTCAGAAATAAAATGTCCTAAGATTGTTAAAATATAAATATTACAAGAGGAACTAAAAATATAAGTCAAAATGAAGGAAATGTTTAATAATTTTTATAAAAACACCAGAGAGTTTTTCATATTTAGTTTTCTCTATACCATGTTAAATGTGTTGTGTCAGGTGTTGTTATAATTAAATTCCAGCAGCTTTACCCTTTTCTTTTCGGTATGGTGGGAATCAAACCTAGGGCCTCATGCATGCTACACAAGCACTTGAGTACCAGCGTTACCTTTTTTTTCCTTATGTGAATGAATGTTTCGCCTGCATGTATGTAAATGCACCGTGTGTGCAATGCCCGTGGAGATCAGAAGAGGGTGTAGCCCTTGGAGCTGTAGTTAAAGCCTCCATGTGGGTGCTGGGAACCAAACCTGAGTCCTCTGCAGGAGCAGCCGGTGCTCGCAGTTGCTGAGTCATCTCTTTAGCCTCCTGACTACCTTTTAAAGGTTAAATTAGGATAATGATAACTTTTGTAACAAACCCAAAACTATGTAATGTTTCTAACACATGACAGTCCAAGGCAGTTGTCCTGGTTGGCAGAAGTTCTTCCATATGGTCAGTCAGAGGACCTAGGTTGGTGGAGACGTCTGTCTTTTAACATGTGACTTCAACAGTAGACGTAGTTCAGCCCTGTCATCCAGAAATGGGGGGCGGGGGGGAAGCACATTAGAAAATATAAAGGAGAATTTTCTTTTTAAATTATTATTATTATTATTATTGAATCAGTCTCATTCCTGGCTAGCCTCAAACTGATTGTGTACCAAGGATGATGTTGAACTTCTAATCCTCCTGCCCCCATCTCTTCAGAGCTGGGACTGCAAGTGCCCAGTTTATGAAGTGCTGGGGACGGAACCCGGGGCTTCCTGCATTCTAGGCAAGCACTCTATCTCCTGAGCGTATCTTATGGGCCATGCCATCATTTCCACACATTCACTTCGAACTATGAGGGAGGCTAGAAAGCATACAAGTACATGTGCTTGTAATAAGAAAAAAATTGCATTCTGTTAAAAAATGAAATTGAGCTGGGAACTAGCTCTCCTTGCTGAGGCACATAAAAGCATATTGTAGCTGTTCCCTTCCCCATATTTAGGAGAGTGGTGGTAATCTTGAAGCAGGAAACATTCTCTATAAATAGTTATGTAAAATGTCCATAAGGCTAGTCTCATGACTTGACATGCGTGTGTTTGATATACATGTGCCCAGGGTAAGGGACACTTTTGTTCTGTTCATTAATATGTATTTAAGACTGTAAAAGACTTTAAAACTTTATCAGATGCATGAATATAGGAAAGAAATGAGGATCTAGATCTTAGATAGTATGGGAATTTTTAAATTTTAAATATTTGTATCACTTGGTTGTTTTCGGAATTAACTGTTAAGACTCTTTCCAGATTGACCATCTATATTTAATATCATGATGAGAAATTTTTAAAATTAAGAATTGTAATGAGTTGGTGTCAAATCTTGTGGGTGTTTAAAATATTTTTTTCTCCCTAACTGGATTATGAGTTTATTGAGTGTAAGAACTATGTACTTCATCCATCTTTGGCTAAGTAGTTTTCCCTAAGGAAGCTGGGAAAGGAGCCGTAGCGATGAGTCAGTGCCCTGTTAACTTCTTCCTGTGATGGCAGAGGAGCAACAACTGACCTCTGCCATCCTGTTTCCCTCTCAAACCACAGCACAGAGTAAGATTCAGGAGATCTGAAGCTTTTGCTCTTGCCATCAGCACTGGTCCTCAGTGTCAGGAAGAATACGTGCCATGTAGATACATATTCATCAAATTAATTAATCAAGAAATTCAAATAGATTTTTGGGAAGCAATTGTAAAAACTTAACTGATTTTTTGACCATTGAAATTAAAATATATCCCAATTTAATTGGTTCCTAAGATACTGTTAACTAAAGATTCCATTTTACTTATTGTCATAGTAATACCTACAGACTTAGAGGAAACTGTAGGTGGGCATCCAAGTAATGCTATTTTATGAAAGAGATCAGCTCTAAAGCATATTTCTAAATCAGTTAGAGAAAGACTGAGTATAGTGGGCACACTAGGTAGTTGAGAGTTCAGTAATGGATGCTCAGTTAGAATAACCCATGTTTGAACAAAGATAGCAACAGTAGTAACTCCTAAAAACTATGAATCCCGGCTGATCTATTAAATTGGACACTTTATAAATGTGGCAGCTTACATGAATTATTTTTGTCATAATTTTGTAGGTTATTACTTCTTAACTCTAAGCTGTAATCTTTTCTTCCTCCCTCCCTCCCTCCCTCCCCTCCCTCTCCTCTTTATTGGGATAATGTCTTGTTATATAGATGAGGCATGCACAACGAAGCTCAACTTTTTTCTTTTTACTAAAGTTAAAAAAAAAAAAACAGGAATGTATTTTTAGATACTTATTTAGTGTTTGGAAAGTTCTAGCAGTTGGTCATGAAAAGAGACTAGAATGTGGGCAGTCTCTTCAGGGTGTCTGAACCCCCATGCTCTGTAAGGGTAGTGTTTTCAGAAGACCTGGCAGGAGCACACTGCTATTCCTGTAGTAGCCCTCACTGGATACATTTGGCATGTCTTCTGACACAGTTCCTTGTTTCTCTTACAGAATTTTCATCTCATTGATTATCACTTGGCAGCATTCATCACAGTGATGCTTGCGAGAAGGCTCGTGTGGGCCCTCATTTCAGAGGTATACTGGCTCATTCATGAACTTCGTTAACCCGTGACTGGAAGTAGTTATAGAATGGGGTCAGACTGAAAATGGGAAATGACCAAATATAATTTGAATACAACTATAAATTCTCTTCTATATGAATTGTGCTAGTACTTTAAAAAAGGGTTTCTTGCAGTATAAAAATTCAATGTGAAATAATTGAGACATTAGAAATCTAATTTTTAGGATTGTGGGAGAAGAGCTTATTTTTGTTTTTAAAATTTTTAATTTTTATTTTATGTGTATGAGTGTTTTGCCTGCTTGTATTGTAAGTGTACCCCATGTGTGCAGTGCCCACAGAGATGAGAAGTGGGCGTCAGATCTCCTAGAACTGGAGTTACAGAGGGTTGTTAGCTTTCATGTGGGTACTGGGAGCTGAACCTGGGTTCTGTGCAAGAGCAACCAGTGGAAGAGCTTATTTTTTTGGTCTTTTAGAGACAAGGTCTCCCTGTAGGCCCAGCTGTCCTCAAACTTGCTATGTAGACCAGGCTGGCCTCAAACTCACAGAGATCCACCTGCCTCTGCCTCCCAAGTGCTGGGATTAAAGGGATGTGCCACCACGCCTGGCTGGAAGTTTTTTTTTTTTTGGTCTTTTTGAGACAGGATCTCCCTGTAACCCTAGCTGTCTTGGATTCACCATGGAGACCGGGCTGGCCTCAAACTCACAGAGATCCGCCTGCCTCTGCCTCCCAAGTGCTAGGATTGAAGGGATGCGCCACCATGCCTGGCATGGAAGAGCTTATTTTTAACTTGCAGTTTTTTAGCGCAGTCTAAAGTTCTATTTAAAACAAGGTGAATTTTATGAAGCTATTAATATGAAAAGTTACTTGTATATATAAATTTGAGTCTGAAATACTAGGTTTCAGGTAACACTCATTTGAAATGATTTTTTGAGACAGGGTCTCCCTGTAGCCCCAGCTGGCCAAGCTGGCCTTGAACTCACAGAGATCTGCCTGCTTTTGCCTCCTGAGTGCTGGGATTAAAGGCGCCACCACACCGGGCTTCATTTGAAATGATTTATAGACCTTTTGTGAAATTTCCTAAAGAGAAACCTTGGAATTTATAGTTTTTAAAAGACAATGCTAAATTTTGCAGTGACTTAATTTTAGATTAGAACTTAATTTAGTGGACAGAGGAAGAAAAAATTGGAACATTAAATGATCTTTTTAATTTAAAAGTTGTTGATAGAATTGATCACTGGTATCATTTTTCCTATCTTTGTAAGACTTGGTGAAGAAGGAAAATATGCTTTCATAAATTTTCCTATCATTTTAACTTGTAAATGATGGCAAAACCAAAAAATGGTAACATATTTAAAATGCCTAATGATTTTTATCTTGGAAGTTATATTTCAGTGTAAAATTTTAAGTGAATATTTGCTAAAATCATAAGTAACTGAGAGAATCAACTTCCTTTTTTTTAAAGATTTATTTTCTTTTTTATGTGTATGTGTGTGTCTGTGTGAGTATATGCCTCATGTGTGTAGGTGCCCATGGAGGCCAGAAGAGGGGTCAGATCCTTTAGAGTTGGAGCTTCAGTTGGTTGTGAACTGCCTGATGTGGGTGCTGGCAGTCAAGCTCAGGTCCTCTGGAAGGAGCTACAAGTGTTCTTAACCACTGAGCCATCCCCTACTGTTTCTTGTAGAGCATACATAAAAATGTCTTTGCCAGGTGTGGTGGCGCACGCCTTTAATTCTAGCACTTGGGAGGTAGAGGCAGGTGGATCTTTGTGAGTTTGAGGCCAGCCTGATCTACATAATGAGTTCCAGGACAGCTGGGGCTACAGGGAGATCCTGTCTCAAAAAGACAAATAAATAAATAAATAGGTTAACTTAGTGATGTATTAATTATGTAGTTAATAAAAGTTGTTTACAAAGGAAAAAGCTAGATGTCTGCCCCCTCAAAAAGGAAACTGTGTCCTCTGGGGAACTAGTCAGTGCTCACTCACTCAGCTGTTATTTTGATATATCACAGTGAAAGATTTATCGTCCTCTTTTTTTTTTTTTTTTTTTAAAAAAAAAAAAAAAAAAAAAAAAAAAAAAAAAAAGTCTTTGTGTCAGTTCTAACTCCAGGGACTGAATTTCTGTGAACAGAGTAGTTGAATTTAACTGCAAAGCAGTCGTAGTAGTAGGATTGCTTTATTATTATTTTTTTCACCGCAGGAAAAACTATCAGTAACCCTTCACCGAAGTTCAGTTCCAGGTGATAAAAGTAGATGCTGAGGTTGGTGTGGTGGCACACGCCTGAAGTCTCAGCACTTGGAAAGTGAAGGCAGGATGATCAGTAGCTCAAGACTAGACTCACTGCATAGTGAATTCGAGGCCAGCCTGGGCTACATAAGACCCTGACTCAAAACAAACATATAAAAATAGATGCTTCTTGTTTTTCTAGTGCTAGATATAGAACCCATAGCCTCTCACCAGTGCTAGGCAGTTGCTGTGCCACTGAGCTGTATTCCTAAGTTCTCTTTTTACTTGTAATTTTGAGGTAGTGTCCTGCTGGATCACCTATACTGGCCTTGAACTCACTCTATAGTCCAGGCAAGCCTTGAACTTTCTTTCTGCCTCAACCTCCCCAGTAATTAAGATTATATATCTGTGCCACCAGGCCTGGCCTAGATGCCCCTCCCTGACCCCATACCTTCTTTTTTCTTTTCTTTTTATATTTATTTTTATGTGTATGAGTGTATTGCCTGCATGTATGTGAGTGCACCTGTGTCGTGCAATGCCGCGGAGGTCAGAAGAGGGCCTCGGATTCCCCTGGAACTGGAGTTAAGGACGGTTTGTAGCCACCATGTGGGTGCTGGGAATCGAACCTGGGTCATCTGCAAGAGCAGTCAGTGCTCTTAACTGCTGAGCCATCTCTCCAGCCCCACCTTCTTTTTTCTTATTGGATGCTTAATTTTGATATACTAGAAAAGAGCTTATAGAGTAACTCAGTAGTCTTTTTTTGTTTCAAACTCGAGAATGAGTTTAGCTCTTCAGTTACATAGAAATTATAATTGTCAAATGGGCGTGGTAATGCACGCCTATAATCCCAGTACTGGGGAGGTAGAGGCAAAGAAGATCAGTAGTAAATCTGTCCTTGGGTACAGAGTGAATGTGAGACCAGCCTAGGCTACATGAGACCCTGTTTCAAAAAAAGAAAAAAAAGGTACCTATGTATGTCAGCTTGGTTTTGTCTTGTTTTTGTTTAAACTCTTTGTACAAAAACTGGCATTTCTACTTTGTTGCTGCAAGGACTAAAACTCACTACTATTTCTCTTACTGACGATGTAATAATTATCTTTTTCATAATCCTAGTTATATACATTAACTGTTTTCAAAGCAATTCTTACTAGAAACCGAATGCTAAATTTAAACAGATTTTTAATTCAAGCCTGAAATGGGTCTGCTGGTTTCCTCTACAGTTTGCGTATGGTGTCTTTAATACTTGATTTTGGAAAAACATGATATTTAAAGCTTCAATTTATCTGTCTGAGACAGTGTCTTCCTGTACCCCAGCTAGCCTGGAACTCACTATGTAGACTAGCCTGGCCTTGAACTCAGAGACATCTGCCTGCCTCTGCCTCCCAAGTGCTAGCTTCAACTTTTGACAAGTATAACTTTTACTATATGTAGTCAATTTCAAATATTTGTGATTAAAGAATATTTGAGCACCTATGATAATATAGGAATCTATCAAAGAAGGTATTATTTTTGTGAAACTTCAGTAACTTATTAAACATTAACTCAGAAAAATTTCAGAGATTTTTTTAGATTAGTGCCTCTTTTTCTTTTTTGTGGCACTGGGGGTTGAACCAAGTTCTCACCTGTTTTCACTTTTTATTTTGAGAACAGTCTCACTAAGTTGACCAGGCTGGCTCTTTTTTTTCTTTTTTGTGGCACTGGGGGTTGAATCAAAGTTCTCACCTGTTTTCACTTTATATTTTGAGAACAGTCTCACTAAGTTGACCAGGCTGGCTGTGAACTCATCCTGTAGCTCAGTCAGGCCTTCAACTTGTAATCCACTTGCCTTAGCTGCCTAAGTAGCTAGGATTACAGTTTTTGCCACAAGAACCAACTCCTTACCATCTTTATACACATAAATGTCACCTAGGAGGTTGTTAAAATACAGATTCCTGGGTTCAGAATTTTGTTGCATATTTCTAGACAGGAAAATTGTTAGGTGTTGATATGTTCAGTGAGCAGTGTGGTGATCCTGATTACTGGCAGTTACCAACAAGTGGTAATTGGACAAACTTACAGGAGGTCTATATGAGGGAATATGCGGTACCAGGAGGAAATAACTGTGCCTAGAGAATTTTCAGCTGTTAGGAAGGTAACGTAGGCTGTGGTGACTTTTTGTTAAAGGCACATTTTGTTTCCACTCAATCTAGTAAGTTCTTACTTGGCAGCACATTGCTTCTGAGGACGACTGTAAAACTTTCTTTTGGTGCTTACCCCCTTCCAGGCCACAAAGGCAGGTGCAGCATCTATGATTCACTACACGGCTCTGATACTGGCCCGGTTGGTGCTACTTACTCTGTGTGGATGGGTGCTTTGCTGGACCCTGGTCAATCTCTTCCGAAGCCATTCAGTCCTCAATCTCCTTTTCCTTGGCTACCCGTGAGTACTTTAGTTTTACGTATTATAGCAAATCTTTAGAAGTTATTTGGGTCATATGAATTATATCATAAAAGAGGAAAAAAATGAAATTCTTCATATATAAACTAAGAAGTCAGGGAAATTGGAAAGCCAATGGATGATTGTGTAATTTGTTTTATGAACTAGGGTAGTTGGGAAAGCAGGTTTTATAAACCAAGACCATTCTGGAAAGTCCGAACTCCATGGCTGTCATACCAGTGAAGAGTATTTTAATTATCTCTGCTCACCTAGTAAAGGCCTCTAATGGCTAGCAAAGTTTTTAATTTAGGCATATAAAGAAGCTCATTCGTGGGTTCCACACCTCACAAAGCAATAATAGGCATGTAATGTAAGCACATTTTAGGTTTAAATGTATTTACTTTCTTTGTTTTGAAACTTTTATAATCTACCCTTTGTGTAGGTTTCAACTTAAATATGAGAAATTTAAAATACTGAATTATGAGAAGAACCACATCTTTCTTCTCCTATTAAATTCATAGTTTTTAAAAACATCCTCCCCATTTCTGCCCTTCAGTTCTCAGAAGCTTCTTGGTACATTAGTCCAAACTGAACAATTGTGCCTCTTAAACATGTCTTAAACGTGGCCCTTGCTCTGCTTGATTTCTGTGTTCTGAACCTCTTTCTGATCATGGGAAATCTGTTCTTGCTCTTCTTCATTTAATTTTTTCCTTGTAGCTAGAATAATTTTCATCTGCTTAGATGAGGTAGTAATGCTTATAATTCTAACACTTGAAGGATGGAAGCAGGAGGATCAGTTCAAGATATCCTCTGAAACATAGTTTGAGGCCAGCTTGGACTACAGGAAACTCTGTCTTTTAAAAGGGGAAGCAGTTTAATCATGCTACTGGCCTTCTTTAAAACCCATTAATAAATCATGTCTTTATCTTACAAAGCCTTATATGGTCTCCTGTTCCACTTTTCTACTTCCTCCTGTTTTCCCCTGTATCAGTTATTTATTGCCACAGTAATCCACCACAAAGCCATACTAGCCTGCCACAATATATATTTACTGTGCATGTGTTGGGGTTAGCTGGAAGTCAGGAGGCTCTCCTGGGATTGACCGGTGCCAGAACAACTAGGCTTTGTTCCCCATGCCTCTCATCTAGCCCAGATATGGTCACATGAACTTGGCAGAGGATCAGGAGCTGTGCAAGCTCATTTCAAGTTTCTGATTGCACTATGTTGTCTTATTGGCTCAAACAGGCCACAGTTCAGCATGAGGAAGGGGTTGATCGCTTTACCCACAGGATGAGGCTATGCAGCCCCACAGGGAAGGATGAGACTACAAGGAAGACTGAAGACTCATATTTTGCACACTGTAGCCCCTTGTCATCACTCCTGGCTGTTTACGGTTCAGCAATATTGAACTTCTTGAAACTACCCACCACAGTTTTGCACATGAGGGTTTTTGTTTGTTTTGGTGTTTTGAGATAAGATTTCACTCTGGAGTCAAGGCTGGTCTCAAACTCTTGGCAGTATTCCTGCCTTAGTCTCCCAGGGGCACAAGTGAATTTTCTGCCTGATACTTGTGTCTCTTCTGGAACCCATCCTTCCAAGGGCATATTCACGGTGGATTATGGAGCCCTACTCACCATTCTCTTACTTAGTAACTAGCTTGCCCTCTGTAGAAAATTATGAATAAGTGTCATCTCTTAGCTTTGTTACTAAAATGAAATAAGTGACATGCTTTTTGTTATTTGTTATATCTGAATTTATGTCTGTGAAGTAGCCATTTTATTTACAATATCTAGGTCAGAGTGTGGAAGTCACAGAATAAGGACTTGGGGAAGTACTTAAAAAGTGTTTAAGGAATTAGCTATAAAATGTTAACATGAATGACTGAGGGGTGAGGGGTCTGTACACAGCTCATGGTAGATTATGTGCTTAGTGTATTCAAGGTCCCTGAATTTAATCCCTAGCATCAAAAAAAGTTTTCAAAACTCTCAAGAAATTCAGGGTTTTTTGTTGGTTTTTGTTGGTTTTTTGAGACAGGATGTCACCATATAGCCCTAGCTGGCCTGGAACTTGCTAAGTAGACCATCCTAGGCTGGCCTCAGTCTCACAGAGAGCTGCCTCCTCTGCCTCCTAAGTGCTGGGGTTACAGGTGTGTGCCACCACATCTGGTAAGAAGTTCACGTCTTTAACCAAGTAATGTTGCTTATAGAAACTTCTAGAGTTTTTTTCCTTAATTTATCAAATACTTATTGAGAGGCTATTCTACTTCATCCACTATTCCAAGCACTAAAGATACATCAATGAAATAAGCAGACCTAAATTGATTCATAGAGCTTAACTAGTAATGAGGGAAGGTAAACCAAGAAAATAATACCATCCCCAAGTAAAATATCTAATAAACACACAGGGAATGGTGAGAATCTGTGGAGAAAATGACAAGGAGATTGGGCAGGCAAGTTAGGGACTAAGTTAGCTACCTGGAACTCTGCATGGTTTGTGTTTCGCATACCATCCCCTCTTCTCTCAGTGTACTTGAAAGCTTAGTTCCTTTACCTGTGTGTACTGTATACACACTCCTCTCTGAACAATGCACCTAGCAACCTCCACCCCCTTCTTGCGTCAGGCAACACATATAGTGTATAAACAGTGGAATAAGTTTCTCCTCCCCTAACAACAGATTGAAATATATTTCCAGTGTATCTGGGAATGAGGACTGGAAAGGCCAATTTGGTCTGAACTGGTTTGGGGTGAATGGGCAAAACTGTGTCCTTTTAGCAAACTTTAGGAAAATCCTCTATTTACCACCTTCTGCCTGTGCATAATTGGGAGTGCCTACGATTATAATCAGACACACTAAAGGAAGGGACATGGACAGTAGGAAAATGATTATATGACCTAAAGTATCAACCAAAAGAGCGATCCACTTTCTCTGCACCCCTAGTAACTAAACTCCTTCTCTGGAATCTCATAAAAGGGAGCCCCAAACAATGATCTGGGTCCTTGAGTGTCTTCACTCAGGTGACACACTGCTATATTGGAATCAGTGGAATCTGACCTTTCTGTCACTTCTCTTTGAATAAACTTTTCTTTCTACTTTTGCAAATCAGTATGATTTGCGCTTTAAATAAGAGCCCAGGAACCTGGCCACACCCAGACCAGACCCTGACCACTGGTAACTATAAAATATGCATTCTGGAAAAATATGCACCCAATGAAAATGATTATTTCTAGGTGATTTTACTTTGTCATTGTGACTCAGTAGTTTCCTGTTCTATGGTGCGTGCGTACTGCTTTTGTGGAAAGCAAAGGCCCCTTGAGTTAGTTCCCTCTGGTAGACCCCATGACATTGATGTGCTCTTGGTGGGGTCTGTGGTTTCATTTCTGTGTTCACCTTGTGTTACAGGTTTGGCGTTTATGTTCCTCTCTGCTGTTTCCACCAGGATAGTAGAGCCCATCTTCTTCTCACAGACTATGTGGTTCAGCACCAAGCAGTAGAGGAAAGTGCTTCGAATATGGGTGGTTTGGCCAAATCCAAAGACTTCCTCTCCTTATTACTGGAGTCTCTGAAAGAACAATTTAATAATGCCACGCCCATCCCCACCCACAGCTGTCCACTATCTCCAGACCTCATTCGAAACGAAGTGGAATGTCTGAAAGCAGATTTCAACCACAGAATCAAGGAAGTTCTCTTCAACTCCCTCTTCAGTGCCTACTATGTTGCGTTTCTCCCGCTTTGTTTTGTGAAGGTAAGCACCGATCTTGCTTTATGCGCTCCCTGGATTTGTGTGTCAGTTACATAAACTGGGCATTTCTTGTTTAATTCCCCTTTTCTCTGTCTCCCCTTTGGCAGCCTGGATGGTGGAGTTCGGCTGCATCCGGAGTGCACTAATACCGCTCCTGGTTGGCGGATAGGTATTTCCGTATATGTGATGCACCCCGTGTGAAGGTAAGCACCGATCTTGCTTTATGCGCTCCCTGGATTTGTGTGTCAGTTACATAAACTGGGCATTTCTTGTTTAATTCCCCTTTTCTCTGTCTCCCCTTTGGCAGCCTGGATGGTGGAGTTCGGCTGCATCCGGAGTGCACTAATACCGCTCCTGGTTGGCGGATAGGTATTTCCGTATATGTGATGCACCCCGTGGTGGTCCCCCCTTTCTTCTTTTTTTTTTTTTTTCCTTTTTGTATTTTTTAAGTTTCTGGAAAGAATAAAAATTGTGCTTATAGTAGAATCATTACATAGCAGCTTGAGAGAACCAAGATCTCAATGAAATTCAGCTGACTGTGGTTGATACTGACAGGGCTATTGAGAGTCCTTGAACTTAATCTAACCTGTATCTAAACTTCAGTTTATTTCAATAGAAAAGATAAATAAATGGTCTGGATACCCCTCGGGCCAAAATCTTTTGGACATTGTGATGTCCTCCTTTCACTCATTCAGAAGCACTTCTGCAGCTGGACTGGCCCTTCAGAAGCACTCAGTTCTTCTAGAAAGGAGACGTTAAAACACAATTGCCTCTCCTTCCCAGCCCTAACTTGTACAGCAGAAAGTCAGGTTGAAGGACTTTGGAGGATTCTGCTCTTGACGTTTCTGCACGGACAGCAGGATGACCCGTGCATGTTGACTCAGTGTGGCATTTGTCTGCAGGGCGTACGTCCGCGCACCCTTCGCTGCCTCTGTTCATCGCCAGTGCATGGATCATTTCTCTTTGATCTCTTCCAGAGTACCCAGTATTACGACATGCGCTGGTCCTGTGAGCACCTCATTATGGTGTGGATCAATGCTTTTGTCATGCTCACCACGCAACTGCTACCATCCAAATACTGTGATTTGCTACATAAATCAGCTGCTCACCTGGGCAAGTGGCAGAAGCTGGAACATGGCTTCTACAGCAATGCTCCACAGCACATGTGAGTATGTTCAAGGGTAAACCATGTGCGCTTTTCTACGTGCTGCTGGTCGTGTTCATATGCTTTGTGTGTCACTCTTCTTGGCTTCGAGCATTGTCTGGTTTTTGTCTATACGGATGCTTGTCATCATGCTGAACAGAGTACAGGGCATTAACTCATCACCACCACCATCTCCAGCCCCCTCCCCAAGTGCATCCACATTTCAGCTGCCTGGTTACTCTAGAATATTCTGTACTCTGGAGTTCTCTTTCAGTTTTTACCATTTGCCCAAATCCTAACATACTTGGAGATTTTATATATATATGTATATATATATACACACACATATATGTATGTGTATACATACACATAATATATATAAATAAATAATTCTTTTTATAAGACTTGTCAGTTTGTTTTCCCATCTTCATTGTCACAGCTAGGTTGTTGTTAGCTGTTCATCTCACACTTGGAACAGCTGGAATTGGCTGCTTTTTTCGTTTCAAATACATGCAGATTTAATCTAGTAATTTTCCTTGTCTGTAATTCTTTCCTTTTTCTTCCTAATCTCTGTCCTGTTTCCCTGCTTCTCTGTACTTAAATGAGATCTGTCCCTGGCTCTCATTGTGCACCCTTATTAGTCATTTCTCTGCATGGCCCCTGTGATTCAAAATGCCTAACTTTCAAACCTTTCGTTCTGTCAGTTCTGAACCCATTGTCATACCTATCTCTCAAACCTGGACCATCTTCAAATATGGACCTCTTAACTTTCTTCCCTTTTATAATTTAAATAATTTCACAAATTCCATCTACCAGTATTTCCCCTCATTAAGTGGGACAGATGGAGGTGACCTTCCCTTCCCCTCTTCCCCTCAGTTCTCCCTTCAATTATCTGCCTTGATGTCTGATACAGATTAGCACAGGCCTTCAAGCCCAGGAACTGAAAGAGATTGGGCCAGGCTGAAAAGAAACCTGACTGTGGGCAAAGGACAGATTTCAATAAAAATTGAAAGTACAATCCACAGTACTAGTACTGTACATCTTCAGGCTACTGATGGCACATGGCCATGAGGTGTATCATCACTTAATGCTGGTAAGTGTGAGCAAGTCCGGTGGAACTTGTTCTGAACTGGGAAAGCTTCAGGGTTCTAGAATCATTTTTATTTTTAACATATCTAAACTGCTATCCCAGTTATTATCCTAGGAACTAACCTTTCCAAAATCAGGAAGTGATAAATTAACTTAGATTTAAGGAAAAAGTTTAATTTAAAGATCCCCATCCCACTGCAACTCCATTACATTGATGCTGGAAAAATTGTAGCTTTTTCTTTCCTAATTTCTTTTCCTCAGCAAAATCTCTGTAGAAATAAACCAATAAAGTAGTAAGGAGAAAAGTCTGTGTTAGTACCTTGTGTGTCTCTGTGTTCTACTATATAGCTTCTCACATCTGTGAGATATATTTGAATCATGTGATACGCAAACTCATCTTCTGTAGCTTTGAGGGGTGCAACTGTGTAGTAAATGTCTTCTAGTTTGGCAGTTTGTTAATTTCTCTTCTCTTACTGCCATCAGCTTTCTCTTCTTGTTTGTGTCCTCATTTCAACAGTAGACTGCTCGCTTGGATACAGATGACAGTCTACCTGCTTATACTCTGTTTTCAGGCCCATAGATGCCTGCTCATTCTTCTAAATCCTTCAGCACTGAGTTAGTTATCATCTTGTAGTTTGTAAACTGTGTAACAATGAAGTTACTACAACAAATCCTTTCTAACTCCTAGTTTGTCCATGGAATTACTATATTTTTAGGCAGATGAAGCCTTGAATGCCTAATCCCATCTCCCATAGAAATATAACTGGCCTTGCAAAACACTTCTCTGTAATTCTCAATATTCTAACGGTGCATTTCTTTCTCCCATAGTTGGTCAGAAAACACAATATGGCCTCAAGGGGTGTTGGTGCGGCACAGCAGATGTTTATATAGAGCCATGGGACCTTACAACGTGGCAGTGCCTTCAGATGTATCCCATGCTCGCTTTTATGCAAGTACCACTTACTTATTTTCAAACATAAATTTAGGAGTGTGAGGAGGCCATTCTGTATGTAAGTCCCTAGTGCATGGTAATTATTGCGATTACTGTAATAGTGCCTCTTGATTTTTGGAAATGCCTTCTGAAAGGCAGATTGAAATTTTTACACCATTATTCTATTGCTTGAAACAAATAGGCAATTCTATGACTTACTTTTTCACCTTACAATTCTATTGTATAAGTTTGGTTTATGACTTCCTTTTTCACCCTACGATTCTATTGTATAAGTGGTATCCTTATAGTATATTGTATTTGAGTGTGGTATGGTAGCATATGACTGTAACCCCAGCACTTGGGAAGTGGAGGCAGGAGGATCAAGAGCTCAAGAACAGTCTTGGCTATATGGAACCCTGTCAGAGAGAGAGAAAGAGAGAGAGAGAAAATATGAATGAATCTGCGTTAAAGTTAGTACTATTAAATAGAAATAAGTTTGTATCTAATTAATTTATAAATCTATAAAATAATATAGTAGTAATGTTTTCTTTTTTTGGGGTGCTTACTTGGATTTGAAAGAAATAAAATTCAAAAGAGGAAAAAGCAATAGACACTCATTAAGTCCGCTTGTGTCTCATTTGAATTTATGTGTTGAGTTGTGTTCTAATTAAGCTATCTGTTTTCTAGGAATTCTGGCTCTAAGAGCCAGAAATATTTACTTCTAAAGAAAGGGCAGCCGGCTGACCAGTGGGGGTAGGGACGAGGTATACCACAGAGGTTAATTCTTAGTCAAAATGTCCAGTGTGCAGTCCATTGCCTTTTATTCTATAATAAAATGGAATTGGAGGTCTTTCTTTGCTATAGTGTTCTCTCTTTCTCCCTGTCCTTCCCAGTTCTTTGCAAGGGTACTTGGAGTTTCTGGTTTTGGAAGGACCTTACATTTACCTGCTGGTAACTCACAAGGGGCAGGATGCAAATACTGTGTGGGAAGGGAGGAGTATGGGAGGAGCCTGGGGATATTGAGAGGGTCTTGAAAAAAGGAGATGACAGCAATCCCTCCACTCATGGGATTGCCTTAAGATGAGGAGTGGACTCAAGTTACAGCTACATAAGCATTTGATTTCTCCATAGGACATTGAATTCACTTAGCAAATTTTCTGGCGTATTCATTAATGAATTCTTTTGGTCTTTACTGTCTCATTAAGCCATAAGACCAGATATTTTATTATAATTTTTTTGCTTAAAAATTCAGTAGTTTTTGCTGGGTGTGGTGGCACATGCCTTTAATCCCAGCACTGGGAGGCATAGGCAGGTGAATCTCTGTGAGTTTGAGGCCAGCCTGGTCTACATTACATAGTGAGTTCCAGGACTGCTTGGGCTACAGGGAGACCCTGTCTCAATAAGACAAAAAAAGAAAAAAAAAAAAGCCCTAGTTTTCTTGTTTATGTTGGACAGCTAGTAAAGTAGAATCCATATAGGACAGATTGTCCAATTTGCTAATTTTTAAATAAGCAACTCAGTACTTCTCAAAAGTGGTCCTAGGGCCACCTTTTGTATATAAATTATCTGGCCCACTCTTACCAGTGATTGGGGCCCCTTTCCAAAACTTCTGCATTAGAATCCTTGGAGAATTCCAAGAATTTCTATCATTTGCAAACTTGAAATGATGCTTATGCAGATTGGAGTTTTGAGAATATCCAAACTAACTTAAAACCTGCCTGTTGGCCTGGAAAGGCAGCACTTGGGAAGTAGAGGTAAGAGGATCAAGAGTTCAAGGTCAGCCTTGGCTGTAGAATGAGACCCTATTCCCCAAAACCCCAGTAAACTAAGCTAACTAAAATCTGCCCATTACCAGTAGCTGTTATACTTTTAAAACATGTCTTTGGGACTGGAGAGATGGTTCAGCGGTTAAGAGCACTGGCTGCTTTTGCAGAGGACTCTGGTTCAGTTTCCAGCACCCATATGGCAGTTAACAGCCCACCATAACTCCAGTTTGAGGGGGATCCAATGCCCTCTTCTGATCTCCTCGGGCATTGCACAACATGGGTGGACATACATATGCAGACAATATACTTAAACACATAAAAATATTTAAAACTTGTCTTTACTTTTCTACTTAATCAGCTTCTAGGTTCCTGGTACATTTAACTACATGCTTTGCAATGGAATCCGAAATTGCTTTTCTTAATCCTTCTAGAACACTAAATCTGAGCCAGTTTTATACACAATATTGGTGGATATCATATAATAAAATCCAGGTTAAAGATTTTTCTTTCCCCATGAGGCCTTAAGGCCAAGACCCTGAGCACCCTTGAGAGTAGCCATGGCAGTTTATCTTCATTCTCAGATTTCAGCTCCTGAGATAGAAATTCCACCCAAATTAGTTGTTTTTAGATCTGATAAGCTACCATCGTCACAGTCTGTCTTCATCTGAATTTAGGACTAGACTGGTGAAGTTGAACATTATATAAGGTCGTTTTTGTAATCTGACCCGCATCTTTGTATTGAGAGTACCTTTTTTATTACTATGCTGGGATTTAGCCCCTTCAAGTGAAAAGTTTGAGGAGTGAAGATAGGATGCCCTATTTGTAGTCTGGTGCTAATACCTTCTCATTTCCTGTTTTCCTCTTTGCCTTGTCTTTGTATACCTGACTTCAGTATCCAGGGGGAAGGAACAGTAGTGAGGAGAAGTATATAGGGTCAAGGATTTTAGTCAGTGGCCAGAGTTGGGAAAGAGTTTAAGGACTTTTCCCTGCTCTCAGAAGGCTGAGGTGAGGCAAAGGGATTGTCAGTTTGAGACAGCCTGAACTATGTAACAAGACTCCTTTTCAACAACTTTTAATACTTATTTTCCCAAGCTTGTCTAGTGTTCATGTTTATGTCTTAGGTCAGCCCCTAAATTAAGACTGATTTACATGAGAGAGAGAGAGAGAGAGAGAGAGGACAGACAGACAGACAGACGCACACAGAGACAGTGACAGACTGTCTAGTCCCAGCCTGCCTGGAAGTTACTGTGGAACAGACTGGTCTCAATCTCACAGAGATCTGCCTGCCTCTGCCTCCTGAGGGCTGGGATTAAAGGTGTGTGTCACCACACCCAGCTAATTTTCATATTTTTAAATAATTACATAACTATGCACATTTCATCTTTAATTTGTGCACCAATATTTCCTATATGGTCCTTCACCCAGTCTTGTTGTAGATAAACATACTTTGGGCTATCTTAGATAAAATGTGACTATGATAAAATCTTAAGAAAAATTTTTATAGGTAGTATTGGGCATAATCCTTTTCTGCATCTTAGAAATACTAGAATAAAATTTATTTCATTATTCATGAGCAAAAAAGGAAAAAAGTTTTTAGATTTTTATAGCAAGAAATAGCCTGATTGCTACTCTCTAAGCAGATTTACTTATTGTACATGTGAACTTAAAAATATGAAATGGTTTTAGGAAAATGAAATCAGTAATAACTTCTTCCTATGAAATAACGTTTTGTTTTTAACTTCCTTACAGTTCCTGTTTCATCGCCCATTAAGGCTGTTAAACCTGCTTATCCTTATCGAGGGCAGTGTTGTCTTCTACCAGCTCTATTCCTTGCTCCGGTCAGAGAAGTGGAACCACACACTTTCCATGGCTCTCATCCTTTTCTGCAACTACTATGTTTTATTTAAGCTCCTCCGGGACAGAATAGTCTTAGGCAGGGCATATTCCTACCCCCTCAACAGTTACGAACTCAAGGCAAACTAAGCTGCGTCTCAGCTATGAGGGAGAACTCAGATAAAATATTTTCATACGATCTATTTTTTCCTTGCAATTTTTATAAATATTTAAGATATTTTATATTTTGTATACTATTGTGTTTTGAAAGTTGGGAAGGGTAAGGGATATTAAATGTATCCATAAACATCATGATGTGATCTTTCATGTTTTAGTATATTTGCGTAATATACGTGAGAGGATATCCCTGCAGTAAAAGATTGACTTGTTTGATGTCTCTGGAATAACTTGCACTTATGAACATCTCATATCACTTGACAGAGTATCTTTGGTGTGTCTTCTTTCTTTGCAGTCTTTCTCATTAGGTTTAGTTCTCACCTGGCCATAATTATTGTTGTGGAAAGGGAGATGAATGGAATTGCCTTCCAGCAACCAATCTCTCTAAACTCAGCTGGTATGTAGCAAAGAGTGGGTTTTAGTGGTGGGTGAGTGCTCTCTGTTGCCCTCTAGGAGGAAGCCTTTCAGAGCCAATGCTTTGCTTCTTTGTTTTTCTGATACTTTTGAATTAGCTGTGAACCTTTCTTAATCTTCACTACTTCTGTTTCCAAAGATTTCCCTTTTACTTAGTTGTGTGTGCTAATGCTTTTCAAAGACAGGAAGTCTTTAGTATGCCCACAGTCATGAAGGATCCATGGGAGAAGAAGAGTCTAAATGCCACTCAGATCACTAGAGCAAGAGCAATGCCCAAGTATCCAGAAGAAGGGGCCAGTCCTCACCTAAAGAACCTTGGATGCAGTCTAGCTGCCACTTGTCCAGGGAGACATTGTGTATTTCAGAAGTGAAATGCAAAAAGTTGCTGCTTGGTCCTCAGAATTTGATCTGTGTCCAAAATTTGTCTCTGTGTGTGTGTTTTAGTATTTTTTTCTTATGTGTATGAATGTGTTGCCCGCATGTATGTAGGTCCACCTATGTTGTACAGTGCCCACAGAAGAGAGAAGAGGGCACCGGATCACCTGGAACTGGAGTTATGGATGGTTGTTAGCCCCCACGTGGGTGCTGGGAATTGAACCCGGGTCCTCTGCAAGAGCAGCCCATGGTCTTCGCCGCTGAGCTAGCTCTCTAGCCCCCAAAATTTGTTTTAAAGTTCATATTCAATGGCTGGGGGTGCAGCTTGGTGGTAACATGCTTGCCATGCATGCACAAGACTTGGATTTATTCCCCAGCATTGCAAGAAATAAGTAAACTTCATACTTTAGAACCTTCATATTTGTGAGCATTAACTCTTTAGCGCATTATCGCCCATTCTTTTGGAAGGTGATGTAACTTCTGGGGCTTTGTTTTGGAGAACTGAAATAGACACTAGCCTCATGTTTTCTGTGCTGGGTTTAGCTTTTTACACTGATGTTTTGATGATGCCTGTGAAGCATAGTGACCAGTCATATCGTTTGCAAACTAGCTGTAAAAGCAATTCTTGCAGAACAGCTCCAAAAAGGTTTTCAGCAAAAGAAACAAATTTGAAGGAATAGGCATGTACATAGATACCCACCTTTATATTGCAACTAATTGCGGCTTCTCTAGTTTGATGTGTGTACTGCTTTTAAATTATTTGCCATTCAGTCTTTGCACATTCAACAAGTGTGTATGGTCTACCAGTGTACTATGTAGGCATTGAGGGTTAGCAATAAGAGGTGCAGAAGCTCACCTTGAAGGGAAGTGGTGACTCATTTAAGAAAAGGGTATATATAATATTTCATGGTGGTAGTGAGATGTGAGTAAAGAGAAAAAAAATGTGTGTGTGTGTGTGACAGAGAGAGAGAGAGAGAGAGAGAGAGAGAGAGAGAGAGAATGTCAGAGAACAATTTGGGAATTGATTCTCTTCTACCTTTATGTGAGTTTGTGGCTACAACTCAGGTTGTCAGGCTTGTGCTGCAAGTTCCTTTACCCACTGAGCCATTCCGCCAGCCTTAGGAGATGATTTTTCAGCAAAGAACAGACAAAGCAACATTTGAGCCATCTAAATGGCTTTAGTAAGAATTAAACATTTAATGTGTGTTTTTGTGCCACAGTGAATATGTAGATATCAGAAGACAACTTGGAGTCAGTTTTCCCACCATGTTGGTCCCAGAGAGAACATCCTGGCTTGGCAGCAAACACCTTTACCTATTGAGCTATCTCACCAGCCCAAGTATTTCATGTTACAGCAGCAAGTGCCTTCAGGTGGGAACAAGTTTGTATATTGGAAGAATAGAAAAGAAAAGGGTTGGGGGGAGGTGAATTGGCTTTCATGCTATTCAAAGTAGTTTAGCCTAACTGGTCTGGAAGAAGTGCAGGGAGCTGCTGTTTGGTGTGCTTTCCTTAGAATCTTGAAGGTGATACATGCTTTTCTTGGCTAACAATTTGGAGAAATTTCTTGATAGCTGAGCAAAATGGGAGGCATGAGCCTAAATAGAGATGCCCAAAAGGTCCCAGTTCTGCCAGCTGTGGTGGGACATGCCTGTGATACCAGTGCCCAGGAACTTGATGGAGGAGGATTTTTGAGTTTGAGGTCAGCTTAGGATGCATAGTGAGATCCTATCTCAGTAACAAGAAGCCCTGAGTTGGTTCTAGTGTACAGAAATAGCCCAGATAACTAAAGACAGATGGGTCTTAAAACATCATTCTACTTCTGCTGTGACCTAGCTTGGCTGAATCCTAAAAGTGTCACAAAATCAGATGCTAGGCAGGTTGACTGAATGGGCGTAATTACACCCAGTTTGGTGTAGACCTGTCTTCATAGTAGTACTTGGGCACTGAGGCAAAAGGATTGCAAGTTTGAGGCTATCCTGAGCATTACCACACTGGAAATAGTATACAAAAATCCAAGGTGTAGACCTGTTCTAGACACTAACATCATTAGTTTAACACCAGAAAGCTAGATTAGAGTAGATTACAAAAAGACTTGAATTTCACAGTAAGGAGCTTGGATTTTTATAAACTTTTTAGCCCATAGGTTCAC